ATAAAGTCATTCTTCAGTACTGGTACTGCAACTTAAGTGTCTTACTGACACTACTTTTAGAAATTTTATGCAACACTCAGCCCCAATGATCAGTTAGATTAGTAAAATTAGGGTGTGTTGGAAATCTAAACTACATTTTTTTAAAGGATATTGTGCTTAAAAAAAAAAATCAATTAACACACTTTTGCATCAGGACAAAGAAGAGGAAATGCACCTCAATTAGCTGAGTGACAACAAAACACTATCTGGCAAGAGTTTTGATAATCCACAAATTAAGTATTTGAAGTACGCAAGAAAGGCTTAATGCTTTATCAGAAGTCATTTCCAGTGCCAGTTGATTTTTTTTTCTTTTCTTTATCCTATCAACAGTTCCAGCCTAATTATTCGTAATCTCACGCTTTGTCTGTCCGGTTACTCTATTGTATTTGATTAATTGGATTTGTCCCACATCATTGAGCTGCTGGAGGGCCCTCCTGCATCCACAGTCTGTTGCGTTAAATTGGGGTTGGGGTTTGGTGAAGGGGGGGAGAGATCAGCTGACGGCTGTGGCAGCGCTTCAGAGATGTGGCAACAAAATGTCTCAACACCCTGGGGAAAAAAGTAAAGAAATAAATACTGCACAGAAGCCAATCTGCACACAACACATCACATTTGGAAAGATTTTTGTTTACATTTACTAAATGTTAAAATACACTCTAATTAAATTGATTATGTGTCTATGAACTGGCCTCTTATCTTTTCAATAAAGCGCTCTTGTCTGGAGGTCACACCACGGAGACTTGACAGAGATCCAGGCTCCCAGCTGCTCCCTTTTTCCTCCTCCATCCTCCTCCTCCCCCCTACCTCCTGCATGGCTGCTGATGCTGGAAGCAGCCTCCAATCTGCAGCCGGAGCATCACACACCCTCAGTCTGCCAATTAATCACACTCCTCCCTGCCTCCTCCTCCTCCTCCACCTTCTCCTTCCTCCCATCCTCTTTTCTGCTGCCACATGGCCCTTTGTATCTCCTGTATTCCCATTCACAACACTGGCACGCCTGAATTTAATGCTGATTGTTTGTGTTCTCAGATGCAAATGATCAATACAGTTTTGAGTCAAATGCATACAATAAAAATAATTCTACACCCTAAAATAAAACTACATGGTGTGGAAATTGTATGGAAATTAGAAGCATGCTTTAAAAAATACTACAGTAAAACATCTCAATGAACTAATAACAAGAAATATGCAAAACAGGAAGTAGCACGAAAGACAACTATCGCGATAAAGTCATGACGCAGTAATAAAAACATTAAATATATTATTCCTGTTCAAAAGACCAATAAAAATACCAAAATAGACTAAAATGTGCTTTAATAATTACAATTTAAGTCCCAAATCAAATTTTGTGTCAATAAAAGCACTTTTTTAAAACATTTGAACCGTAAATAAAACCTAGCGTGCATCCTCCATCACTTTATGTGACTGAATTCGGGCAAACGTCCAGAGAGAAGCGCTCCACGCCGAGCAAGCAAACCTCCGTGACAGCAAACCCAGCAAAGAGCGACAAGCAGCGAGCAACTTGTGAATGAAAGTCGGCCAGGAGAAAGTGCTAGAAAGCAGAGAGCAGCTTACCTTTGTCGTTTTTCTCCTTGTCCATGTTAAAAAATAAATATTCCTCTCTGGCCGGTGACAATAGAGGAAGGAAGCGGGTGTGTCCGGCGACTGTGATTGACAGCAGCGTCGACCAATCGGAGCCTCAGGAGGCAGGAGGCGGGTCGTGGGTTGTTCACAGCCATGTGGGACACTGAAGTGGTTTCTGTTCCTCAGTTGGCTTTTAGCTTTTAGTTTCTGGATGTTTTGGGCGCCTCTCACAGTTTTACTCCCTATATTTATTCATTCATTCATTCATTCATTCATTCATTCAACCTTTATTTAAATCTGGCATGCCCTCGTTTGTAATGATCACAGTGAACAATCAAAACAATGAATGGAGCATCATGAAAGAGAAAACAGGAGAACACAACTAAAAACAGTAGCATTCAAGAGTGGGGTAGTTTATAATCACAGTTGTGCTTCATGTGGATTGAAAACTGTTCTGGTAATCATTTAATTTGAAATTGGTTTAAGAAAATATGTGATTACAAAATGGTACATTAGTTTTAAAATACAGCAAAATGTGCAATACATTTCCTGATGTGGAGCTTAAAAAAGTAAGAATAGCAGTGGATAATTCTATTTACATTTAATGTGTACATTAAGTTAAACAAGACACTTCGATGTGGTTTTGTAATATTTATAAATGTGTTTATTTTTGTCAGTGGTGGGTCGTCAGAATCACTGACTTACGTTGTGATATTTTCCCATTATTGTTTTTACATTATTCCCAAGTCTATTCTCTTCATTTCATCTGGGCTGTGGTGCTTTCAGCAGTGTATGTTAATATTAGAGCTTTTATCCAATCATATTTCAGCCATCATGTGTTGCCAGGGTCAAAGAAATTTGCCTTGAGGCCTCCAGAATCAAAAGTGCAGGCGCCTGTAGCTTAAAATGCATTGCAATGAAACTGTTGCTTTAACCAGTCAGATTTAGAGTTGGTGGTCACAGGGCAGACTACAAGGTGACGCAGTTGGCAGCACTGTTGCCTCACAAGAAAGTCGCCGGTTCGCATCCCGGTGGGGACACCAGGATCTTTCTGCGTGGAGTTTGCATGTTCTCCCCATGCAGCGTGGGTTCTCTCCGGGTTCTCTGGCTTCCTCCCACAAGGTCCAAAATCATTTTGAGATTAACTGGTGATTCTAAATTGTCCGTAGGTATGAATGTAAGCGTGCTTGGTTGTCTGTCTCTGATAGACTGGCGACCTGTCCAAGGTGTCCCCTGCCTTCGCCCTAAGTCAACTGGGATAAGCTACAGCCCTCCTGCAACCCTAGTGAGGATCAAGCAGTGTATAGATAATGGATGGATGGCTGGATGGTCCCAGGGCCAGCCAGCAGGCCCACGATAACGTGAGCATTTTTATGTCCTCTGATCGGATGGTCAGAGAGCTGAGCCAAAGCTAGTGGTTTGTATCTCTACCGACCTGCACAAGCTAAAACTTTATTGTACAAGTATAACTTTTTTTGTTTGTTTTGATTACACAGCATATTTTGTGAGCCACACAAATTTTGCCCTATTTCTCAAAAGGGCAAAATGAGTATACAGTTGATTTTTAGTCATTTTAATATATGATTACATCCTATTAAAAACTAAATTTTGAAGTTTTATAGCAGTTTTAATGTCCCAATGCTAAGCAGACATGAACCTGAGGCCACGCCTACTTTTATGACATCATACCCATGCAAACTTTCTTTCCTCGACAAATGCCTTATCAGCTATAAGCAGTGGTTTTGGGTAATTGTATGTGTTACCTGGAAAGATACCCAGTGCAAAGTGTCCTATTGTAATTTGACTGGTTTCCCATTTTAACAATAACCACCCTTTGGTTTGAATGTTTGCTGGATAACATTAGAGGTATGTGCAGCATACAAACACTTAAAGGCTTCATGGGACTTTAAACATTAACCAATCACGTGGGAGCAGTTTAACAAAAAGGTTACGTATGGTGCCATCTTGTTGCTTGGGGCTGTGTAAATAGTAATAAAAAGTTTTTCATACAATAGGCAGTGATGAGTAGAATAACTGTCACAAGTAATAACTCTTGGAGCAGAGTGGTGGATTGAATCAGAGGCTTTCAGAGGCGTGTCTGTAGATGACATCACTATAATCTAAAACAGACAGGAAGATGGCCTCAGTTATTCCCTTTATGCCGATTAAGAGAAAATTTGCTTTGTTTCTGTACAAATTCCCCCTCTCCCCCTTTTTTTTGTCATGGCTTGCTGACAAATGTGTCAACTCAGCGTGGTGTTATGCAAACTGTCATCCACACTATCTTGAGCATATTGTAATTGATCTTGTTTGCACCTTGATGGAAACTGCAAAACCATGGCTAGAAGTAGAGAGAACTCAAAGATGGATTTTATGCAGTGCAAAAAAAAGAAGCTATATATATACCAGAAAAAAAAACCAAAAAAAAAACAATGCATAAATGTTAGTCGGTTACCAGAAGGTGGTACATATCAAAGCAACATTCACAGGAATGCAAAGGTTTCCCAGCAGAACATTGTCCAGAGCATCAAACTGCCTCCACTTGCCTTCCTCCCACAGTCCTTCCTGCTGCTATCTCTTCCCCACATCAACACACATGCATCCGGCCGTCCACATAATGTGAAAGAAAACATGATTCCTTCCATTAGTTCAGTTCTGGCCATTGAAGGTACTTTTAGCAGTGGACAGGGGGTCAGCATGGGCACTCTGAGAGGTCTGCAGCTATGCAAAGTGGTCTAACCAGCAGTGAGATTTTCATTTCTTTATGCTATAGTAGCTCTTCTTTGGAATCAAATTGCATGCATTTTTTATTTATTTTTTTAAATTTCCAGCAATCAAGCAAAAAAACTGCATTTATTTAGCACTTTTCAAAACGTAAAGGACAACACAAGTTACTTTATGGGAAAGTGAGAACAAAAAGATTTAAAACAGGTAGATGCTGGTGTAAAAACCACAAAATAAAATCTCTGAAACTTTGTGAGAACAGCCCAATTGCCTAATTGTCCCTTAATGCAGAATATTCTGCATCCTTATTAATTATTTCATGGAGATCACTGTATAATTAATACACTAAAAAGGAAATTCTATCTATGAACACGATGCAGCCGACCCCTGGAGCTCCCTTTAGGGCGCAGTACATCCAGTTTGAATTTAATTCGAAAAAGACATGAAATATTCATGGAAACTCGGTTGTTAAAGGATTAGAGAGGAGGATATGACAAAGCAGAAATCATAATGAAAATACCACATCAAATGCATTGTTAGAGATAAAGGATGTTCTTGGCAGGCATATCTAATCATTATTTTAATAACGGTGTAAATGGAGCTCACTTCAAGCATTTGTCGCCAGAATACATCAAATAAGAGTCAACACTGAATTGAATTTAACATTTATTACAAGATGGACATCGGATATTTCTCAAATTCGCAACAAAGCCAACAAGGAAACAAGTCAGACAAAAATATGTCAGCCATAACAAACCACCATCCATTAGAACCTTTAACTCTCTGCGATAAATGGAAAATGATTACATTTTTGGGGTGAGCATAAATAATCCATATATCCGATGACAAAACCATAGCTTTATGTAACTGATTACACAACATGATACATTCATTCCTTTACGTGCGCTCTATCAGTTTTTCATGAGCTATTCAAAATGGAAGAACTCGGCTTTGTTCTTGGCAGCTACGAAGGAAATATAAATCAAAGATGGGGATAAATATTTTTTCACCACATGCTCCGAGCAATGTGTGAAAGTCGTCGGTGTTTCTTTGTCTGGGTCAGAGGTCTGTTTGCCTAAAGAGATGAAAAGATCTCTCAACTTGTGCAGTCCATTCTGGCTGAGTGTTACTCCCCTCCCTGATCTGATGGCATTGGGGTATTGCGCTCAATTAGAAAGTACCCACAATGTTTGGAAAGTCCCCACATAAAAAAATGGCCCCACAGGTTTGTGCAAGCAGCTTACAAAGCCCAGTTTCATGTTCTTGTTAAACAACCTCTAGCAAACATGTGTGACAGCATCAGTCAGCGCCTTTTTATGACTATAGTAAGACAGGAGCAAAAAGCAAGACAGGTGATACAGGTCAAGAGTTGCAAATTTTGCTTAAGGAGGAGGTTGTGGTTGATGGATGGGTGAACAAAACCCTGGTGTTTAACACAGGACACCACTTTTTTTTAAACGACAGTTAACTTTTCTTTTCCAATGATGGCAAATGACCCAAGAAGCACTTAATTCAAACCAAAACATAGTCTTTTCCTTGAATTAAACTTGACCTGTTGTTTTTTCTTAACCAACCTGAACAGCAATGTAGGTTATTTGTTTTGACACTCAAAGAGTGTCTCCTGAAACAGTAGGAAATATACTGTTCACTACAGTTTGCTTAGCTTTTGGGAAACATCTGGGTTTGGGTTACAATAGAAGATGTTTGCTGTCATGGTTACAGTAATGCAGACAAGACTTAGGGTATGGAATGACCATGCTTTAAAGAAAAGACCACTTGAAAATGGAGGACAAACAGTAAAAGTCCAATGTTTTGTCAACCCATTCACCCACCCCAACCTCCTTCCTACACAGACTTTGTGACTCCATAGGCATTGTTCCACTGCAGAAACTTGGGACAAGCATGAGATGGTGTCTTGTGTTTCTGTTTTGGTTTAGGATCCAGCGGAATGGTAATTTGAGATGCATTGTTGTTTGCTGTATTAACTGATGATTTTTTGGATCCCCCATTATGACTATTATGGTCACTAGAGGGTGCTGTTACAAAAAAAAACCTCATGATAAATTACTTTGACCAATGACCTATGGGAGTCATATCAGAGATTCGGGCCAAACCACCTTCAGGGCTGTCAGGTTGGAAGACTTGTTAGTCATACTGACACTTCTTGGATGAACATTCATATTTTTCTTGGATGTAACCCCAGCATGATAGCTATAATTCCCCACATTTGATGAAGCAAATGAGACAACTTGAGGCAACTGGAGCCTTTAAAGACCTCCAGCTAGGTTGATATTATCTTTGCGATGATGCATGAAATGATGCACCAGAGTGTCATCAAAGTCGAGACGGTAGACTAACAAAGCCATGGTCTTCTAAAGATGAAAGGAACTGTGATAACACTTTGCTTTTCGCCTTTTACGTGACTCACAACCAGTTTATTTTTTAATGTTGTGCAAGAAATTATTTTCAGCTGACACTTTTGTGCATCATTTGTGTGCAAGAACTTAGTTTTTCTTATTTTGCTCGCCAATTACTAACCTAAGATTTCCACCATGACCATCCACAACATTTGCATGATGATTGCATCAGTGTGACGGTGACACTTTAGATGATGATATCGCCAAGATTTTAAACGACAAAGCAGGACTGTAATGGAGTATTTCTTAAATTGCTGAACTGGTGCTTCTATTTATGTATTTGAGTATCTCAATACTGAGATTAAGGGCGATGACGATTTTAGATTAGGTTTAAGCTACAAAAATGCTTCAAAGACAGATCATAGCTTTTGTAAAATATACGGAAAATTAAGATGTCACTACTCACAATTTTAATAGGTGACCATTATTTTCCTTATGTTGTTTTGAAATTCTTAAACACAATCGATAAACAGGAGCGGATTTAGTAGAAAAACTCACTTTACGACGTCACAGAGTCAAAACAATTAATTCTGTGTGACATAATTTTAGCTTAGAAACACATTTGCTGTTACGAATTAATAGTATTTGAATGTAATCTTGGAAGACAGGGTAGGTTTACAATTAAAGTTTGTCCTCTATAACACTAACTTATGCTAATGTTGCTATAACCCTTCCTGCTGGCAGTTTACTTCACTGGAATAAAAAAAAAAAAAAAAACTCTTACAATCCCAGAAAAATGATGATCAAGATCAAGATATTAAAAACAAAAAAAACCATCCACACACCGATACGTTACACACTTTACTCGAGGGTATCCGTAAGCAATAGGTCTCTAACAATCATTTCACAAACTCAAGCACTCCAACCCATATTGACATAGTTTGGATAAAGCACTTTAATAGCAGATGAATATTAGAAAGAGGACATGACGTTTTTGTGACAACAGTTAGTGTGTTACTTACATGAGCAACATTTGCTTCGACACTCAGATTCAACTCAAAATTTGATATGTTTCTCTTCAAAAAAAAGCGCTCTTCTCTGTGATGCATTTGACACTACACCCTTCAAAATAAAATCCCTTCCTTAATATTGCAATTAAATAAATATACCTAACACAAGCTAATGTAAGCAGCTGATCCGGGCATTTTAATTTGACCAGAAAATAATCAATCACTCAAACCACATTGATGATAATGTTTTCATACATTTCTAATATGAGGTCAGTAGACAAACCCCATTTTCCCCATCCTCATGCATGCCTAAAGAGTTATACACCATGGCTTGTATACAGACAGATAAATCCGGTATATATCCAGTATATGTTCACATACATCTTACAGTATGTTAGTTGGCAAGTTGATCGATTTACGGTCCAGAAAAATCAAGCAAAGCTGACGGACTTCAGCTCAAAAGTGTAGCTTTTTTTTTTTTTTTTTTACTGTACGCAACAATGCTTTCAAACAACAAACATATAAAGAGTTAAATCTCTATCTGAGAAGATATAACACAGTTAGAGTATTGAGTTTTAAATCAAGCAAGACCTCACTTGTTATGCTTAAGTGCTGCTGCGGGTCTGCGAAGCTTAACAAAGTCAGCATGGGCGATTTTTTTGTCTTTTTCCCTTGTAACAAAATCGTGATTTCTCTCGGCTGCGTCTCATGATTGGGTTAATGATCCTTTCCGGAAGTCAAAAATAGCTTATAAAAATAATTTCATTTGTTTTCTTTTACTCGATGTGAGCGTATGTCACTCTGGCAATGCTGCATGTTTGACACCTTTGCACACTCTGAAGCCTTTGGTGCCTTCTTTTTCTCGTTGAAACCCCGCCTCACCCTGTCTGCGATCCTCTGCCATGTTGTGGCTGCTATCCAGCCCCTGGCTCTCCTATCTGTGCTGATTTATGAGAGGCTCGTGTGAGATACGAAGCCGCTCTCAAACGTATCAGGGTATCGAAACTGCCCGTTCCAACGTCTCTGACTGAAAAGAGCATGAAAGAAAATCAAAAACAAAAGCGCATGATAAGGTGCTTTTTGACAGTTTTTTGAAGTAGAACACCAGAGAAGCTGAAGTTGTTTATCCCTGTCTTTGACCTTGACATGCTTGAACAGTGAAAGTCTCTTCGCTTTCCCAATGTAATGGCGATGGGCGTTAAAGAAAAAAAAAACTGGCTTGATAATGTAACAGCCACTCGGCGCAGGGAGACGACACAGCGAGAGAGAAAGAAGGCAGCGCAGCGAACAGATGATATGTAAAGACACACAAGATGAGAAACCCTCGCAAAGAGAAACCAAACTCGACAGAAAGGGAGATAAGTCAAGATGGACAGAGAAAGAGCACATAAAACAGTCAGAACCACGGAAAACTGGAGGAAGGCCTGCAGGAGAATTAGAAAAAGCTGTTTTTTTTTGTTGTTGTTGGGGTGTACGAAAGCGTCTGGACAGGGGGGAGGGAGGCGGATGCAGAAACCACATGGGAGGCGAGGAGCATCAACACAGGCCATGCAAACGCAGCTCCTCGTCCTCTTCTGCAAGGTTGTCAGTCAAACATTCGGACCACACTGCATACAAAAAGCTATAGATGCTGCCTCGACGTCGTGAAAATGTCCCCGCACGGAGCGCCTCTCCGTGGCTTCACAGGCGGACGGCATGGCGTTTTACAGGTGGAAAGTAGGGGGTAATAATGGCGGTGCATATATAGATATTTCAGATGGGTTGGTTTTTTTTTTGTTTTATGTTTCCCTTCCAGATGCTTGTTGAGATGTTGCTCAGCGGTTTAATTATTTATATATATTTTTTTGAAATTTCTGTCTAAAAAAGGCGCGCCTTCTTCTTCATGTCGTTCTTCTTCCAGAGAGCCAGGCGGTCAAACTGATCCAGGGTCATGCCGAAAACCTGCATGAAGTCCTCGGGAGATAGGTGTCTCTGGGAAAGTGAAAGCAAAGAATATCCATGTTACTAACAATTTCACATGACCTATGCATGGGTGACAAATTCAATGAAAAGCCAACAAGTATCTTGATAAAACATCAATTCTCCAGGCGGTGAAATTTGCCTGGAGGGGTGAACGGCAAACTCCCAAAACATTCCCCCCTTTGGTGTTTTGATGATGGAGATGTGGACAGATACCAGCATGCAAAGTCTTCAGGGTGAATGGTTGGACACACTGAGAGTTAACCAACACTCCTCTTTGATGTCTTTTTACCATAAATCCTTCTCTAAGCAGCTCTATCTGCCTTAACTTGAAGACGTACTGTCCCAATGTCTTTGTCCTCCCACTCATATTTGTCATATGAAATGAACTGAGAAGCAACTATTCTGGCATTGAGGTATGATGATTTCTCAACGTTAAAGGATGCAGGACGTGATAAAAGAAAAGTAACTGTGATCAGAATATATTTAACATTTTTTGAAATTAAAATCAAAATAAGGCAACAAGAACAGAAATGCTTCTCTTGTTCACTCTTATTTTGGTGACAAATTCATTTAAATGTTAATTTGTGTCATGCTGGAATGTCATTTTACTGGAATAAAAGCCAGTGAAATAGTTGGTATGCAAGTTTCACAGCAAAATCTGTCAAAACTTTGATAATTTTAGTAAATGCTGGCCACAGTATGTTGGTCATACCATTAGCTTATAGCAGCAAAACCCTTAGAGTGCACTAAAATTAGCAAAGGTAAGTTTTTTTGTTTTTTATTTTTTGCTTGTAATTCATGTTTTTTTATTGGTAATTGGACATCGTGGTCTTACTTCCTTTGAAATCTATATATCCATGTAAGTGACGGTACAAGCTTCCAGGGCCAAAAAATGAAGCCACCGTGGTGGTGCCAAAAACTGCAGTTCCTCCAATGGCCACTTGGGGCTGGCTCCAACAGCGAGTCAACCCCCATAGACCCCCATGTTAAAACACCTAATTTTACAGCAGAAATTAATATGTTTACAGTTTCATGCAAAAACCTGTTTTGGTTCCATGTTCACGGTAACAGTATGGAAGGTGAATTCCCATGAAACTTTACTGTTTAAATTGTATTAAGCTTTGTATAAAATGTTTTGATTGGCTGACTACCTAACCTGTCCTCTCCAAGTCTAACCAATCAGTATTTCTCTAAGTTTACTATTGTGTCCAGCATAATAGTGTTGCAGGGTAAGTCAGAAATGCCTACCCTAGAATAGCTCATTTTTGCTTCCTGAAAAAAATGGCTCTGAAAATGCTTCTACAAGGATGGTTCTTTTGGTCAGAACTTGCTCAAAGATTCAGGCCACCCTAAATGCAAGTTCCTACAGTGGAAAGCAGCTTATCAGATATGATAGACAGCTTTTTCAAATTTGGTCTCTCTAAATCTCAAACAGACTTCACATGCATTGAAACAGCATGAATTTAAATCCTTGAAATCCTGGACATAGCACTGAAATGCAGTTATTTCAGTCCAGAATTTGGCTACTGCTGTACATGTTGGCGTAATCAAGCCCTGTCTTGTTGAATTTTCACTAGGCGCCACTCTAATGGACCATATGTTCTACTGAGCCTCTAAAACATCTGGTGCTTTGGTGTAATTAATTAATACTTGCGCTTGAACCAGTGAGATTATTCCTGCCTCTGGGCTAGCTTGACTTTTCTCACCCAGTATTGTAAATCAGTAGCAGCTTCATGCTCACGTTGGACTCATACAAGACGTCCAATCCTAAGATGTTTGTGTTCAGCACATAAGCAGGCGTTACACTGCCTTCTGTATTGAGGTTTAACACACTAAATTCAATTCTCTGCCTCAGAAGTTCCTCCAAGCAAAAAGTGCTATCCAAAATCCCAGCTTGGCTCATGCAGCCAACACTCACGAACTCCTCCATAAATGTCAAAAATATACCATGGAACAAAAACATGCATGGTATTGATTTAGGCCTCAGAACAAAAAGCATAAGCTGCTTTATTGTAAAATGTTTCCTGCACTGAGCGCTGTGCGTTTGCGATGATAGAGATAGTAAATTAAAAGCAGACTGTTGCCGTGAAATAGCCAATCACCCGCTTTTTATACATCAACCAACAGAAGGAGAGAAGCGGAGCGACTGGTTTCACCCTGAGGCAAAAATACCCACATCCCTTTAATATGTCACCTGCCATGCTGACAGGTTAATAACATAGTGACATAATGAAAGACAACATTCTGCTTGTCCTCTCTAATCAAAGTACATTTAATAATTTGATACACAAACGCTTTCATTAGTAGTGAGTGTAAAACCAATGCGACAGCCCTCATCAGCTGTTCGTGGCAAAACACTTCTTGTGAGCACACTGGTTGGTGTATTTCCAGGTATGAAAAAAGACTTATTTCTTACTGAGCGTCACACCAGCTCAAAGGCCATTATAGATGAGTGAATACTAATACAGTCATTAATGGTCATGAAGTAATACATAAAGAACTGTAACCTGCAAAATGGGCAACTACAGGATCTTTTCAATGGGCCGAGGAACACTGGAACTTTTTTCATAGGGTTTCCACCATAGAAACCTGATTACAAGTCATGTTTTGTGCTCCTGAAGGTATTCATTCGGACGGCACAGGAGTAACTTGTATCTTGTATGTGGAACTCGTCAGTGACGTGCGATCAGGCGAGGCATCACCGAAAGAAAAAAAAATATATAATGATAAAATAATTTAAATGTTTATATTTATCCAGTGATTTGTACTGTGAAGTGTTTATATTTTCATTTAGTCTCGCCACTTTTGATGATTTTTTTATTATTATTTTTTTAATTCAAAATCGCAGAATTTTCCTAATTTCCTATTCAAATGCTTGGAAGAGAAGCCAGACACCTGTGAGGCGGCAGCGAACTGAGCCTCACCTTGGATTGTGCAATCCCTCGCTAACTGCGCTGGCTGCCATGCAGTGACAGCGTACTACTGTCTGGATGTCACCAATAAAATGGTTCAAACATATTTAATATATGAACTGATTTTCCATAGTTTAGCTGATGTATATAATAGTGTACAGTGTTTTTTTTGTTACCAACTGTATGTGTGTAACATGCTTCATGTGCTGAGCGATCATAAACAGCGAGAAGAGGTTCTAGGTGAGGCAGGCAGTTCTCTTGCCTCATGGCAGGGGGCGCCCTGATCCCAGACATTATTCTTGTGACTCCTCGGCTGCAGAGTAAGTGACAGCAAGCCAGACTAGGTACGATCTACAATTAGCAAGTCAAGTCTTCTAGCTGCGAGGCGACGGTGCTAACAACTGAGCCACCTTGCAGCCCTGAATCTATTCAAATACATATTCAAATAAATTAAAAGGTTGTCTGTTGTAGAAAGAGCTATTTCAATTTAGTCAGCTAGTTTATTTTGATGAATCCATCCATTATCTATACACCGCTTAATCCTCACTAGGGTCGCGGGGGGGCTGGATTCTATCCCAGCTGACTCAGGGTGAAGGTAGGGGACACCCTGGACAGGTCACCAGTCTATCACAGGGCTACACTTAGAGACAGACCTCTGCCCAATAATCTGTTGGTCCTTCTGTGCTGCAAATAGATCTGACCCATCAAACCATGGATTCTACAAGCTATTTTCCACTGCAGGAACTTGTGGACCGTATTAATGTGGCCTGAACCTAGAAAACATCTTTCAGGGTTGTTTACGTGGGAGAAAAAAGTATCCACTCTGAGTAGGTACTTCAAAGTGGAACAGTGTTGTACGAGACTTGACGCTGACAGTTAAACTCAAAGAAGACAACAAGCGCCATTTTTTTCTCTGTCATTACCATCAATATATAGACTATCATAATGAACTTACATTGCTCTATTTTCTTTCAAGCTCAAATAAATTGAAGTTATGTCCAGTAACTATTATTTGCACATTCAGAGTTAATGTTGCGGTCAAAGCTGTCAGAATGGAAACAGAAAGACTGGATGTCACCTTGTACCCGGAGTTCCTGCAGTGGAAAGCCACCTTATAAGACCTCCGAAGGTTCCCTGTGGTTGTTGGCATTTAAACATTAGCAACAGACTCTTTAGGTCCTGCAATTTCCAAGCTACAACACCAAGGATCGGACTTGTTCCAGCATGTCTCCCAACACCCTCTCACCAGGTCACGGTCGGTTCCTTCTTGGACCGTTGTCGGTAGGTATTCAACCGCTGCTGACCGGGAGCACCCCACTGTTTTTGCTGCTTCAGCGATGCTGTGTGCCATTCGACTGACCATAGTGATTTGGCACTTTCCAAACTGCTAGAAAGGCTTGTTTAATATCTAATATATGCCTGACGTTGGTATGCTCCATTGCTAAGAGACGAACCACAATGTTTTGGTGTAAGGTTGCAGATACTAGCTTTCAATCAAACATTATACGATGTTTTCTGTATTTTAAGAAGTAATAATAATGTTAATGATGTTTTGCTGTTTGCAGGAACACAGTTATTTAGGAGTACTACATATCTGTAACCTTTTGTCATGAAAATAGTTGAAAATAAATGTACTGCATATATACAAAAAATCCTCAACTGGACACTGTCTCATGTCAAAACAGATTTGACTACTAATATTATTTATTTGCATGAATCCCAGTAAACTAGGTATGTATTCAAATGTGTATTACAACAGTTTTTCATATCACATTTGGCTGTCGTGCCTCATGGAAAACTGTCTCCATCAAACCCTGACGTTGAGTTTTAGTAGGGGTTTAGCTGCTCATTAGTCTGGGTAAACCTACAGCAGTTTGAGGTCACGGATCAGGATCAGTGGTGGGTTAAACAGAGGTTGGAATATTTCTCTCTGCAACACACTTATAGACACGATTGACAATGTGACTCCAGTAAAGCGCTCCTAACCACAGATGGGCTCTCTTGCGTCAGTAACACCTCGATATCCCGACGGTCTGACTCCTCTTGGGACAATATTCCCATAACCCAAGAGCTCACGGGGAGTTCTCATATTAGGGTGAGTGAGGGTTGAAATATTATAAAGAGGGTGTTTTTGGAGACAAAACTCCTCCTCTGAGGATGGGAGAACCATTAGCACTGCACCACAACACTAACCACAATTTGAAAGTCTTTAAATGGGTTACTTTAGCCACCGAAACGTTTCCTGTTTTCAGCTGCACAAAATTATTGAAACTTCTGAATCTGTAAATGGATATCGTAAGAACAACAACTGCAGGAAATTAGTTATTACGGAACATTAAGTCCAATCATGCTTCATTTTTTATTATAATACATGCATGTGGGTTAAACTTGCTGTGACCCAAAGCAAGAGCGAGAAACACTACCGCCAATTATACTCACATTTCCCAATAAAATACCACAATTTATTGAATTTATTTTGTCCTCCACTGTTTGAAAAAAAAGAAAATATGTGGATACTCCTACATTATATTAACATGTAATTGTTAAAGATGCCATTTAAATCCACGGGCACTAATATTCTTCTATAACAGCCTCCACTCTTCTGGTTTCAGATTTTCCATCAGATTTGATGGAACCTGGCTGCAGCCACTAGAGCATCAGGCAGATGCCGACTGTGAGCCAGGCTTTATCGCCCAAAGGTGTTGGATGGAGTTGAGGTCAGTGCTCTGCGCAGGCCAGTCGAGGTCTTTTCTATGCCAAACTGGGAAAACCCATTTCTTTATGGAGCTGGCTTGTGCACAGGAGCACTGTCATGTTGAAACAAGAAAGGGCCAAACCAAAACTGTTGCCACAGTGTCGGAAAAACACTGTTGCGTAAACTATCAGTGTATGCTATAAAATTCAGATTCCCATTTGGGAAACTCAACACTTCTATATGCTTCAAACAAACAAACTGTTGTGCAGTTTTGTGCTTATCTAAGACAAAACTGTTTGTAGCCCTTTGCAAATTTCATAAAAACATGCAGCCACAGAATAAACCAGTCATATAACATATCTTTTTCATATTATTTGAGAAAGAGCATCAAAGTTATAACAGCTGAAGGTGGATAAGGCTGAGCATTGGCAGCTAAAGCAGTCCCTCCAAGTTGATAACAATAACTGAAACCATGTCTTCGATGTACAAAATGTATCAGTATAGCTGCTGAAAATAACAAATTTAGATTACGGATGTGTGGTGACACTCATCTGGGAAATGGGGTACAAGAATATTTGCATCATTATTTATTTAGTCAATGAATAACAACACACAAAAACATCAAATCTGAACTTAATTAATATTGAATCATAGTTGGGATGAATGAAAGCAACATGGAATTGTCTTGTATCATCTTGTCACCCGCCCTCATTAACATAAACAGGGCAAGCAAAATGATAGAAACTTCTCGCAATGTCTAAAATGACAATAAACACCTCTCCAAAAAGGCGTTTTCGACCATAACTGAGCTTTGAAACTTTGCTGACCGTAGATTTTTTTGCATGGCTGTTGCATTAGTTGATTGAAATTGCAACTGAAGTATGACTGTTGCCACATTGACCCTCATAATAAATGTCAGTTGTATTATTTACCCACAAACCAACCAGTACGCCAGAGCTGACATGGCAACATTTTGGATATTTGATTTCTCATTGTTGTGACTGTTAACCAAATATGTTAACAACTCTCTGGAAATACAATATTTGCCTGGCTTTCTATAAAAGCAAGAACTATAAATCTGGGAGGAAGTTCAGCCACAGTAAAGCAATCTAAATATGTAAACTTGGGCTTCAGGGAATGGTTTCAGCGTCACAGTGCTTCACAACAGAGTATGGAGAAGCCATCTGTGGACAGATGCACACAAGGTGGTGGATGGGAATTTAGAAATTCATTCATCCTAATTTACAACAAAGTCTGTAAAAGCCACAAATGAGCAATTTGCATGAACCCTGGTGTCCTCGGTGGCAGCTCTGTACGTTTCCCAGTAGTTTCTAATATGTTTCAGGTTTAAGGCCATTATTTGTCTGTTTGTTTGCTTTTTCTAAGCTCAGTCTGAACTTGTGATTCTATGTGGCGTTGACTCAAACTCAGAGGCACTCAGATTTGGAGTTGTCTAGACTACAGCTCTGCAAAAAAAAGTCCACAAAACACACCCCTGTCCAAATACTTTTAGTTCTACAGTGTTTGTACTGAAAAAAAAAGAAGCTTTATTGTTTATCCACCTTTAAAATAATTGGAGATGGCACTTCGCTAAGCTTTGGCTGATACTTTTATCCCACCTGGCTTAGCCGCCCAGCTATTTGACCCAAACCGCAAAATCTCGACTTTAAATGATTCTGTAAGCCACAATTTCGCATTTTCTCAGGCTTGTTAATGACCTGTGGATAGAAGGGAGGGGGAAACGACGGAGCAGGGAGAGGAAGATTAGAGCTCACCTCCAGTCTGGTGCGATCTACGTCTCTGGGAAGCTTCACTTTCACTCTATGCGTCACTGCCAGCATTTCATAGGGGTAGACCTGGCACACACAAAGTAAGCATTGTGGGAGATTTATTAGGGAATACAATTATAATCCAGTGTCCAAACAAAGCTGCCAAGAATATTAAAGTATATTTGTAAAGTATGAACACACTCTTACCTTGTACTCTGAGGAGGAAAAGAGAGAGACAGAGAGAATTAATCTGGTGGAACAATTCGTTTTTATTTGAATTGCAGACCTATTATGAAAACTAGCATAATAGAGCTCGAAAATAAATTACACCTCGTGGACCCAAAACTCAGAAATATTAGGTTTCAAAGGCGTCAGAAAGCATTATAAACGGTTGCTCTGCACACACACACAGACTGTTACGAGGTTGGAATCCTGTCAACTCGCTCTTCGCCCAAGATACAGCCAGGTCTGTACACACATGCACTTGTAAACACACAGCAATAATTCTGCAGCTGGAAAAATGACATCATCCCTCCACACTGTTACCTCCAGTAACTGATGTGGAGCCAGAGCAGCAGGGCTCTGCATGCTTGGTCACAATGTATATGCAATGTAATCATGGATTATAAACTGACCTTAGAGCCGCACTTAGAGGAAAGATTATATGGTCCTTTATATACTTTATAGCTTAAGACTTAGCTAATACCGTTATCTGGAGGGAAAGGTTTTTGGGATTGAGTCCGCAAGTTTTTGCAACAATAGGGTTGCAAAGGCAGAGGAGTTATTTTGGGAAAGCAGTGTTTGGAAGATTTTCTGCATAAGAAACTTCCTCAAATAAGTGGCATTTCTGTTAGAAAAACTCAAAATTAGCAAGATTAAACTCTATCACTTTTCAGTAATGGCAGTAAAAGCAAAGGCTACTGTTTGTCGAAACACAATAGAACATTTATAGTTTCAGTTTGCATTAATTTTGAATGATTTCAGTAACTTTGGTGCAGAGAGCGGACACTCTGTTTAGATAAAACTGTAGAGGCCCAAGAATCCAACCCTGGGGAACACCACAGGTCACATTTGTGATAATTAACAGGCTCTTCCTGGAAGGTATGATCTGAACCAATCAAGAATTGTACTTGATGATCATATCCAATCCTCTATTCTGTCAAGAGATATTAAAAGCTGCAATTCACAAAAGATATTTTTACCTGAACCGACAAATGCTATTAAAAATTTTTATTGATGTAGTCTTTCTTTTAGTTCTTCAATGTCCTCTGAAGCCAAATGTGCTTGAAAGGGGGTTTACAATCAAATATTTGTAAGGCTATGCCTGAATTATTTGATCAATGGTATATCAAAAACAGTGAAAAATGTCCATCATAATTCCTAGACCCCAAGATGACTTATTCAAATTGCTTGTTTCATCCAACTGACATGTCAAAACGTATGTCAAAGATATTCAGGGTATTGTCAAACAGACAAACAAAAGACATTTTAAGGATGGAAGGAAGGAATTGGTAGTATTTTTGCTCAGTTCGGGTGCAGATTAATTTTCTCCCACATTACTACGGTTCTCTCATTTTAGGACATAAAAAGTAAGATAACATAAACTGACGTGTGGTTGCAGTCCTTTGTAATATGTCTCTACCTAAAGAAAGCCACCAATAGACATCTTGGTATCTTCCATGAGGATGTTTGGTCAGCCTTACACCTTGTCCACTTCCTGCTAGTTAAAGGGGATTTTGAACTGTAGTCAGTGGTGAGACACATGATCAGCAGGGGACTGATATTTTATCCCTTTTGAAAAAGGTATGATCATTGAAGGGTCAAAAAAAGGGCATCTACAGATTGTACTGGATGTGCTGTATGTACTGCAACATCAGGCACTTTGCTGATGCACCTATTGAAGGGTTAGATAAGAGCTGAAAATAAACAGCTTGAGTTCATGTTCTCTCTCACCTCTCATGCCTCCCCAGCTCTGGGAGTCTGGGTCCACTTCATCCTCCACCATCTCAGCAGCCTGCAGGAACACACACATTAAACAGACACAGAGTTAGACCATCATTCAGATGTACTGCATCATGCTGCCAAGAACACTGCTGGTCTTTATCAAAAGCTTGGGTTCATCCTAGAGTCGTTTAGTTACTGCTTTTGCCCTTAATTTGTTCACATTCTTTCATAGTAACCAATAGGAAGTTAGGATGACACATCATTCTGATAGTGAGCTTGTATCACTTTATTTGGAGAGTATAAAAGATGACTTAGGAGAGAGGGAGGCATGGCTTCTATGTTTGTCTAGTAATAAATCTAATCTGGTGAGATGGCAGCTTTCTGTTTGGAGTCTAAAGACACACAAAAGCGATCTGTTTTTGTAAGCAAAAATCATGCCAAAAGAAGTATTTCTTTATTTGAATCATAAAAGTGGGTTAAAAAAAATGCTGGCTGATGAAGTCGCCATCAACCAATGATAAAACTGAGTCACTACACAGGCTAACACTGTTTTAAAATGACACTATTTGATTGGTTTTCACTTAGTCCCCAAAGAACGACAAATTCTTCCCTTTTGCAAAACTGATTTTGATGCTAATTCATACTTTTTACCTCCACATGTGTAAGGGTACACATAATTTAAATTTACCTTCCAGACCTCTCTGTGGACGTGCTCTAAACAAATGTTTGCTTTGAGCAGAAACAGTACAAGGACATTCTCAGTCATCCACACCTTTATAATTCATCCTTATAACAGTTTTAATTGAAGTATTTGCTACAGGACTTTGCAGGTGCTATGATTTGTTTTCCATCGCTGGTGCTATAAAACAGTGGGAAGCTCTAAATTCTCCAGATATCATATACTACACACTGACTGAAGGTGCTACAGTCATATCTTTAACCAGCTGCTATATTCTGTAAAAAGTCACATTTGCACAGCTGTTTTTCTGTGTTTGATACAGTGGGCAATGTGACCCTCTTTGTAGCCGCAGTGATTATACAGAAACCATGAATTGGTCTTTAATCGAGCTAGCATTGTGTAACTGTAGCAATGACAATGCTCTTTCGTCTAGAATTTTTCAATTGTGACACAAAAAATGTATTCTGTCCAATTTGGTTTATGACCAAATACATTCAACACCTACAAATATTCCCATTAAGCACTTGGGGTTTAATGTTACCCACTAAATCAAGGGTGCCCAATCCTGGTCCTCGAGAGCCCCTATCCAGCATGTTTTAGATGATTCCCTCTTCCAACACACTTGATTCAAATGATCAGCTCATCATCAAGCTCTGCAGAAGCCTGATAACGATCCTGATCATGGGAATCAGGTGTGTTGGAAGAGGGAAACATCTAAGGATCGGGCACCCCTGCGCTAAATGTTATCACAATGACAATGTCAACTTAGTCCAAAATCACATCTTGTTCACTATATGGTGAACTGATGAAAAACAAGTATCCAAAACGTTCATCCATTAAGCAAATTTATGCCCATTATATCAGAAGTGTTGTGATTTTGGGCTCATGTAGCATTTAGCTGCACCACTGTGTGCTATAGCTGTAGAGTGATGTCATGTAATTTACTGTCTCTAATGTGCAGCAGTTGGGTTTAAATAGACATTGAATGTTATTCTGTATGTGTGCTATACGCTTTTACAAAAAGGTACTGTCTGTTACAAATATAATGTTACATACTCAAGCTCCATATTTGCTTTAATAGAAAAAACCTCTTTCTCCCATCATTTGACTTCCAGCACACTAAATCCACCATGTCAACAACATTAACCAGCAATGTCAGCAAGTGAAAAATAATTCAATATACTTTGCACCATGAATCCGTCGTGGCTCCTGAGCTTTCATTTCCTTCTCTGTTCTGTTTTGTCTGCCTGTCCTCTATCCATCAACAAACACAGAGGGAGAGCAGCAATATCACATCGGCGGATGACAGACTAAATACCCCCAACGTCCTCATAATAAACCGGAGCCCAGCCTGCGCGGAGTGAATGGTACCGACTGACCCCTGTGTAATCTGATACGAAAACTGTGAAGGAAAAGCTTCGGGAGGTTGATGTTTAAGATGGAGGAAAACATTTAAATGGTCTTAAATTCAACGCTGGAGTTTCCTGTGTTGATTAGTAGAGAGTAGGAGGCTGTGTGGGGCTGGAATGTGCTGATTTGTTAAAGCCGCAAGGGGTAAATACATTTAGATGTGGCCTACTGGACTACTGTAACACTGACAATGATCAAACCTGGAATTGAAACAGCACCACCTAAAGGTCCAACAGGAAGGTCCTCTAATTGGTAGATATGCTTGGTGATGGGCATGCTCCATTTCACTTCATGAGTCACTCCACAAAGTCTCAAATGCTAAAGATTTGCAGAAAGGTAAGGCAAGTCAAGCAGACCTCAAATATGGCTTAACCCCTGCAAGACTTTGGGTACGACTTTCCTTAGATTGTAAAATGACAATCTTTGACTGCTCTGCAAAAGATCTGCTTAATGTTCTTCTACATAACACAGATTTGGCAGCTCACCTTGTAGATGCCGTTCCTTCCGTAGCCGGGTAAAGATGCAGACTTATTGTAAGGGAAATCTACAAAGAGGCAAACAAATGTGGTGTCATTTAAAGGTTTAGATAATGTTTCGGTATCTACACCGTCGCCCATAAAGTTGGAATAATTTTTGCTTTCAGACACATTCCTCTTTTTATTTCTACTTATACACATCAGTAATCATTTGACCAGGTGCAATGATAACATACTGAGTCCCAGTTACCAGGTGAAACCAATTCTGACTTTGGGATCTGACTGAAGAGTGGGACGTCCTGCCCATTGACACCATCAACAAACTTGTGGACAGTATACCACAATAGACTTTATTTATCAAGAATAAATCATATGTTCACGATCATTTCAAAAGAAGAGGTAAAAAATGTATTTTATTCCATCTTTATGGGCAACAGTGTACTTGAACCTGTGATTGTCCACTCACTAGGTTGGGAGGTGTCAGTGGGCAAACTGCAGGTTGATTTGCGGGGATCCAGGTCTTCTGGACCCATCTGTCCATCGATCTCACTCTTCAAAATCATCCAGCTGGTCCGCTAAAGAAAAAAAAAAAAAGAGAGACAGAGACAGAGAGGGACAGAAAGATGGAAAGAAGTGATGGATGATGGCAAAGTATGAGTTAGTGAATTAGTAAATGGATGTACAGTATTTGTAAAGCTTAAGAGAATGACTTGAAAACTAGACGGACATGGACAGACAGATATAGACGCACACATACTGTACACACAGACCCACCTTGCTATCATCACCATCCTGCCAGGATGTTCTAGAAGCTGTAAAACAGTCACATGTTACAGGATGTCACAGTTAATGTGCTGGATCATTTGCCTCTCAGCTCCACTGTGCTGCACTATTAACTCTTGTGTAAATCACCCCTGGAGCATGACATCATCAGCTGCAGACAGCATCTACACGGAGCTCCACATGCAACAGTTAAAAAAAAAAGTGGATAGCAACCATTTGCATTTGTATCAACAGTGTATCTAAAGGGCTGCACTGTACACTGTGGGAGTTTGACCCATTGGTCACTGGAGCAAGGTATCTACAGCTCCGCTTATGAAATATTCATGGTTTCAAGAGGATGGCTGCAGATGACATTTCACTTGATCAAGACATTGCTCCATCACAGATTTGCTGTGAATAATCATGATGCCCTAAAGATTTGTTTAAATCCTTCTGTCATCACATCAGCACAAACTTTCCAACATATTGGTGGATTTCTGTAGCTCTAGATAGATTAGCAATTTTCTCCAGAGGATGAACCCTTTTCATTTTGGACATTTTCTGGCCCCTTGAGGCATAAGGGCACCAATTTTGGAGCTACAAAGAAAGAAAATCATGCACACAAATTACTTTCTCAAGCTCTTGAGTTACTCAATTTGCACTCTTAGTAAGGGATGCCCAAGAGTCCATAAGATCTTAAAATGTGCAAAAATTAGAGACTTCACATACAAGACTGTATTAAATCCTCATTATGATTGTCTATGGTCCAACAGTTAATTTCAATTTACAGTTACAGGTTGTTTTAGCTTCTCTGGTCAGATAGTGAGGAATGTTAGCACAATGAACACAACTGTGTTGCTTTTGACATACCTTCAACGTGTTCTATGTTAAAACGTTAACTATCATTTAATGTTGTGAGAATTTGTACGCATGAATGTATAACCCAAAGAACTTTGGTGACAGCCCCTTTAACATGCATCTGACAGCTTGATCAATGGACCAAATTTCCACAAAGTAGGTGTAGCCCATTTAAATGTAATCACAGTTTACACAGTTTAACAGTCTAGAAGCCGTCTGTTCCTGGAAGTAGGGAGGTAAAGGCTTTGGCAGACAGCACACTTTGTCAGTGACCTCATGTCTTCTTGGATGTATACAATCAAGCTGCTAAAAGCCAGCTCATAAATCTGTATGACTATGCCATATGCAGCTGATTTAGTTGTCGTATGTGATAAAGATAACTATTTCCTTGTGAGACAGAGGTGATAAGAGCTCCTTGGATTCCCGTATTCATGTGTTTTGGGTGATCCTGTCAAGTACTAGACTGCATATCTTCAGATAGGCAACATTTAGTTCCAAGATTAAAAGTGTGGACTGAACACCATCGTTTACACACACAAACAATGATTAGGGGAGAAACACAGTGACAGAAACAGTGATCAACACAACACTAATGCCACGACACAAAGTGATTCATGTACGCGGTCATTCCCAGTGTACACACAGACACAGCATCTCCACTAAAACCAACAAATGAGCTGGTGAGATGAGTGCAGACATGCATGAACAGGATGAGCAAAGTGACACCCAAGGAACCGCAAAAAGTCCCAAATAGGTTGGATAATCAAAACTGATACTTTGTGCGCCGCTGTGTGAAATCAGATATTGAAGTTGGGGGTAATGCTTGTGTGGTGCGATCGAGAAGTTCAGATTATGTTCCTGTTATGTACAAACAGAGCACAGCACAGTGATGCTCATGGAACAGGTACGAACAGTAGCTCTTGTGACGCAGGATTTTCAGAAGACATTGTAGAATCAGTTCCTGTGTTACGTGCGACTTTATGACCACTTGCATGTGCACATTTGAGATTTGACCATGGATCTGGAAAATAATGTCAACGTTTGTGTGGATGCCTGTCAATGAGCCACAACCCGAAGACCAAACGGCAGAAACTGATAAAGGCATATCAGGTCCAAAGGGTATTGGTCATTTTCTTTGGCGTATACCATGAATTTGTTCCCCAGGGTCAGACTGCCAATGCAATTTGTACTGTGGGGGAACTGAGAGTGGGACTTCCAAAAATGTTGTAAACGTGGCAGGAGCGCTGGGAGCAGTGTAACAGCTGCACAAGGTGACTACTTTATGGGGAACGGCAGCCAAATTTAAATCAAGATTATTGATTTTTGAAGGCGTAGACTCTGAATGTTTGGATCGCACCACATAGTATGGATAAAACCTAATTATGCAGACTTTGTTTTAAACATTTAAGTTAATGTCTGCAAAATGGTGCTACCTCTAGACCCAAATCAATGAGCTTCTGCTTCCCTCTACTTACAATTTGAAGTACCCACAGCTGCTGTGTGGGTTGCACTTATCAGTCATGGTAAACACTTGGCTAAACCATGAGCATGACATGTTGTCAAATACTTTTTTAACTTGACAGCACATCCCGTGGCATCACTAACTACAGTGCTTCGAAGTAACTGTTGGATTGGAATGGAGTACAAACTGCATTTTCCAATATGAATGATGGGCACCAATCTACAACCTCTGCCTCCATTCCCTTCCTTGTGTAATTCACTATAATGGGAAGACTGCTTGAATTGCAGTAATTCCTAGAAACACTGGACCGATAATGCAGTATTTGATGTGTGGTGATCCTTCAAACTCAAAGACATGCTATTTAAACTCAACTTCCCTGGTATGTACAGTATTTCATCTTCCCACTGAAGCACCAAGGCCATACCACAGGACCAACAGATCCATGCATTCCAGTGCCAAATTTGATCTGAACACTCAGTTATACCTCAAACAATGGCTGTAAAGTAGGATGAAAGCATTTAAGGTTATTTAAGGGAAGGATAGCAGCTCTCGGAGAAGGGTCATACAGGAGTCCACCAGTGATTAGGCACCTTTGGGGCGCAAATGTCAAATGTTTGGTTTGGTTCATTTTGTCGTTGCCCACGATCCTAACCTTTATAGATTCAGCACTTGCCTATTAGATTGATTGTCTATTCCAGAATGGGTGCAGTACTCTTACACCAGCATTATGCATGTCGAGCCATAGAGTCTACTAGACGAGTGTAGGCCTTAGAAGACAAGGGAGGAGATGAACATGATGACAGGCGACATGCGACACATCGTGCAGAGACCAGACCAGAGAAGGAAGTGTTAAAGAGGAAGTGGACTGTACCATGCTGTCTGTAGATGGGGGGTTTTCTATAGATATTATCTTTGACCATAGTCTCTGAAGATGGGAACAGAGCAGAGATAAAGAAAATGAAAGAAGCCAACATGGGGGGGAGAGAAAGAAAGAGAGAGAATGGAGAAAAAGAAGCATGAGTTAGCAGTTATCGAGGGATGAGAAATTTTTGGAGCAGCAAACGGGGGGCGCAGTAGAGCTTGATTCAACACAAGACATTTGTCATTTTTTATTATGGCACATCAGAAAAATCAGCACTTTTAATAGTTTCCATGCAAAAAAATTCAAAATATATTAATTTATTGGGTGTTTTTTGTTGAAGGGGAAGGGGGAGGTTATTTGATGCAGATCAATTTAATGACACTCAAAGAATAATATCAGAAACCACAAATGGTCCCCAGGCATTAAACAGTGATTTCCAGCTAAACCATTCAAAAGAGGGACCTAAATAAATAATATGACAATCACAACCATGAAAAAAAAAAAAGGGAATTTAAGTGTTGTTGCATTAACTGTCGTGCTGGACGGAGTGCCTCTGCAGGATGATGGGGACAGTATGTTATCCCTTAAGGCTCATCTAATCCATCTTAGTGTCAGTGGACCCGGATAGGCCCCCCGACAGAGATGCTTAGTAACAACTGTCGCACATTAAGCCACAGCAGAAACATGACGCACTGTAAAACAACACATGTGGGTCATTTCTCTGGCTTGTTTCAGTGCCTGCCAGCATCTGAAACAATATCCATATAAAAGCAATAAGGACAATGACTATGAAAGCCATTAAGTGGATAATTGTTGGCTGTTTTTTTTTTTTCCACTTAACTTGCTTCCAACACGAGAGGGTTTTTCTTTCCCTCCATGACTGACAGTGTAATAGTCAATGGGAACAGTATGTTGGATCAAACAGACTTTCCTCTGAAAAGTAATGAAGGATGCACAGTTTAACGTCAACTCCTGTCCAAACGCATTGTAAATTTAATTTAAAGGCGCGGAATCTCCTGTTGGATCACTGCTGTGTCAAATAAAAACGGCTTTGAAATGAACAAATAGCGAGGCCGTCGGGAATTAAAGAGGCCAAGAAATGTACAGAATACAATCCAAAAGCAAGAAACAACAAGGCAGCTGCTACACGCTGAAGACTTTGGGCCCCCACGCATGAACTAATTGCATGAACAGATTTGTTACCCTGTGGAGTTTACTTTCAATGTTTCCTACCAAAAACTGTGTGTATGAGGTCTTGCCAACTTTACCAATGAGTGATTTAGTAAATTGTCTTGCACTCAAGCTTTTCTTGTAGGTGCAAAGTAAATTTCTTCTGCTATTACTGAGTTCCTTTAAGTCATGTATGGAATGATTGTGAATAAAAGTTGCCCACAAATGGAGCAGAACAGGTAGCTTTGCACAGCGTACTGATTTACAGGTGGCATTCATCAAGTCGAAAAGGAACTTTCACGGCACGTTTACTGAATTGGACACTCCTATGAACAAACCTCCTGAGAGGATGAGGATAAGAATACAAGAATGTTTTTTTGCATGAAGCTCGATGTAATCACTTGTTTTGCTAAATACCCCACACTGGTCAAAAGCTTCACAAGACTTTTAGGCCGGACCTGAAAAGAAGAAGTCTGGTTAAAATGAGTTGTCTTTTAAAACAGATCAAGGATCACACAAATCCCTGCACTGGCTGACCTCAAGTGGTTGAGGTTTTAGGTTTGTCGTGGTAATGGAGAACCATAGAGTTAGTCCATATTAATTCAGACAGGAGTATTTTTGCTGCACTGTCTCCAATTTAGTCTATAGTATACATATTGATTATTTGGGACCCAAAAAAATATTTGACTGATTTTAAAGAATTTCATATGTTGGATGGCGCCTAAATAAATGCCATCTGAAAACACACAGACTGACCCTATAGTGTGTGTGTGGCAAACCCAGCATCACTGTTGGGTGAGTTAGAGGTACAACAAATGTAAAACTCTCAACCACAGGAGGTGAGTGAAACAGAGCTTTTCAGCTGCTGAGATATAACCAAAATAACTCTCTGTATCAAATCATGACTGTATGCAATCTAATTTCTTCTTCAAGCTGGCACCAATTTGTTACCCTGTTTGCTAAAATCTCATAGCTTACCTCTACATCAGTTCTGTCAGCCTAATCTACATAAAGTGTAGAGAAAACCGTGAGATGGGCAATGAGCCAAGCGGTGCGGTTATGGCCTACCTGGTATGTGGAAATGCCGGGGAGCAGCCACGTATGTAGAAGTAGATGAGGGGGATTTGCCATCAGAGTAAGTGGATAAGCTGGGAGTACTCCGACCACTTTCACTACCTTCAGTTGTGGACAGATGTGGGAAGGCATTGGATGTGAGAGGCAAAGGGAAAAGGGTTTGGGAGAAAACAAAGGGCGTCGGGGGCAAAAAGGCAGCGTTATTGTAAGCATACTTATAAAGCTCGAACATGAAGCTGTGATTAAAATATCTATGCCAGTGACTTGATAACCCAGCCATGTACTGTGTCTGTGCAGTCTGCTGACCTGTGCTAAGATGCAAATCATCCTGTAGAGTTTTGGATGCTACCGCTTCAGCGTAAGTGATGTTATACACACAGGGCGATGGAAACCCAAATCTACTTTTCCATGTAACATACTTAAGATCTTCGCCTGGATCCCAAAACGCTAATGTGAGCTTCACAGGTAAGCATGATAAGTTCCTTAACCATCTTGACATTAAGCCAGCAGTCCTTCACAGGAGACCACCTTTTAAATACTTGGCCATAGTGGACCACCTTTTCTGGAAGTAAAGTTTTTGACACCCTCTGCTCACATCCAACAAAGTCTAAATGATTGTGATGTTTAAGCAAACCTGTGACCTTGTACCGTCACTGTCCTACCTGAATATTTCACATCTGAAACACCACAAGCAAAGTGCTCTAGACCACATCAGAGCTTACCATTAATGAAGTCAGGAAGACCACAAATTATTCCTTCAGGATATCAATATGTTTCAAACTGATCCAGTTTCCAAAACCTATTAAATGATATTCAGAAGTTGCCCTCGTTTCCACTTTCAATGGCAAAATGCTACTTCTTCAGATCTGACGGATGAGGTGGCACAGCTGCTCAGTGTCCTAACAGGTCATCAGTTCAAATAGTTTCTGTTCTCCAATGTTCAAACCAACGTTTGATCCATGAATGTCTTCGACTAGCTTTGCCGCACACTGATTCTGCAGAAGTTATTCATCAAAGCCACTGAAATTACCCAATTGGAAAGAGTAATTGAAAACAAGCCAGTTTTCAATTCAATACCAAACTTTCTGGTTTTGGACGGTCCCCAGAAATATTTGGCTTCTACTGCTATTGAGAACGCTTCATTTGGATGATGAAACAGAGCTTAGCATTGAAAAACTCAACTCTTGCCTCCTACTTTGCTATAGGGTCAGAAGTGTCTAAACATGTTAACGCCAACACCAGTACCTCCCTGAAGGGAATGGGTGATCTTTAAGACATTGCTCTCATCACCTATCAGCAAACACTGAACCACAAAATTAAAAATATCAATTGGTTCAAACCCAAGCGTAGGTGTTACCCTATGAGTAATACTACATATACACATTTTTATGTACGTTTTGCAAGTCCAAGAATGTAACACGCATGCACATTTTGCTGATTGCATGTATGTTTGTATTGAGTATCTATGATCACAACCAGGGTACACCCCACTGTATTACATCACAGGCAGGCTGGGTGATGGAGTCACTGACACCCTTGATGCCAAAAGTAATAAACACTCTACATCCAGAGCTTTGAGGAAGAAAACAGACAAAGAGAGAGAGAAAGATCGAGAGTGTTAGCTGATTGAACACACACTCTTCTCCCCGGAGAAGGAGAGGAATCATCGGCAACGATCTGGATGCAAGTGGATGAGATCACTTGACACACACAGCAGTGCTGTGCAAGTCTGAGTGATCTGCTTTATACACACAATCACACACACATGCCCATAAACACACACACACATACACACCAGGTTACTGTTAGTGCGGGTCTAAATGTAGGGCAGATCCTCCACACAAACATCTGGAGCTAAGGTTGGAGGCTAGGGGAGTTTGGGAGGAAGATGCATTACAGTTTGTCTGAACAAGATTACACAATGGTGAGGCCATTCATTAATCAAAAAACAATAACAGTCATTAAGAAGGAATCGGGGGGGTAATAAAATAAAAGCATGCATGGATATCTGCAAGATCCTTTCCTTTAACTTTTCTATAATCTCCATCATTAGACAACTGAATAACCTGAGTGCTGCTTACAGTAAGTCTTGCTACAACGGCAGCTTCTATGAGGAACTCTGACAGCTCATTCAAACATTAGCCTGTTGCATGAAAACAAACAGGAACCACTAGGCCGCACTGCGCTACATGCCACTGCAACTGGCAACCAGACCCCAAATTACAGCTCGGCATGTTTCATTCCACCGTTCCCCCTGCTCTCTTTCATCTTCCCCATCGGAGAACTCCCCTCTCAGCTTCTCCACCCTGTCATGGAAAAACTGCCAAAACCCTGGACCGCGTGTTCGTGATTTTCTGTGCAAAATGTTTGAGGGGAAGCTCATGCTGTTTCCCTCTCTGCCTCCTCCTTTTAATCAGGCTATTTTGAGGTCTGGGCATGCACATGTTGGAGGAATGTATTCCTACCGTAAGGGTTCTGGATAGAACTATGGTTTTTGGGACAAATGTTTTCTATATGTAAAATTGTTTCACATTAGAAATTAATGGTGCTGGGCACCCCTATAGTTCACCTCGCTGAGCGGGCGACCCATGAACAGGGGCTATAGTTCCCCGACGCAGCGGCCGTGGGTTTAACTCCCGCTCACGACCCTTTGCTGCAGGTCTCTCCCCATTCTTCTCCCCCCTTTCCTGTCTATCTCTACTGTTCTAAATAAAGACAAAAGCCCAAATATGTATAAAACAAATTCATGGTGCTGTAAAAACTCTTAGAAATGTGATTTAGAATTACCAATCAGCTTCTGTTTATAAATCGAACTTTGACCTGTAATGCTTTGTCTAATCTAACACTTTGCACTTTCAGACCTTGTGAAGAAGAATGCATTTGTAAACTGGACCGTCCATCTGACCTGGTGCATGTCTTGTTGCCACTTGTGCAGAAATTCACTGACCCGTGTAGAATGGATGACGATAACATTATACTGTGTGGAGACTTCTGGTAAGATGACGAAATTTATGTCATGGGACCCTTGTGAGTGCAGACCCTTGCATACTCATGACCTTTCAGTATTTGCGAGAACACCTTCAGCCAGTGTTACACATCCTGTATCCACCGACAGCCGTCACTTTGCTACAACGACAATAGTATGCAAGCTCAGCAATAGTGCAGATGCGTGGAATACAAAAATACACCCTTCTTCGAGTTCTTCAAGCAGAATCCCGTGGAACAAATAAATTGTGTGAGGCCATTTGTATACTTTCTGTGTCTGCAAGTATGCAAGGGTCCACAAGAATCTGTGAGGTTCCATCTGTTCCCATTCATGTTAAGCCCAAATTTGGTGTCTGTGCACGACGATGCTACAAAAGCAATAGTGATTGACAGTAGTGTGCCTATAGACGCGTAAATACAACCTACTCTACATGTTTGGAGTATTTTTTGTGATTCCAAGCTCTCACAATCAATTTAGGGTACACAATGTGAATACTAAAACCACGGCGAAAGGTGTGGACTTCTAATGAACTCTAAACTGTGTCACAATATATTTTTGAAAAGCTCTTTTGTTCTAAAACTGACTGATGACAAGAGATGCAGGTGAAAAAATACCAGATGTATGCATTATGAGAAACAATACTGTAGAGTCTGTAGAGACTGATCGGCTTGGCTCGCACTTAAAACATTTCAATGCACGACAGCATCTTGGTTTGGGGAGTTGTTCCTAAGGAATGCATGTGCTGATAAGAAATACTTTGGCACTATGGACTTACTTGGCATCATGTCAATGATTGTCAAGTACATCAGACTTCCCCAATCATTCTCTGCCAACAATTCTTAGTGTATCTTTATATCATTTATCAAAACACAAAACCTACTCTTTTTTCAGATTCATATCATAAAAGAAGATTAACACCAAGGGGATAAGGTCTGACACATGGCAATGAACAAGGGGTCATTCAGGAACAACAACGGGGTAGATTAGAGGTCAAAGGCAGGCAAACAACTGGGTCAACAATCTGAACAGACAAGCACAAAAACAAAATAACCAATAACCTTCCTTGAAAAGATAATGTCAAATATGTCAGGACCACACTCAGGTCTATATCAGGTTTCACCATGCACGAAGACAACCACGTTCACAGACACAAGTGAACAGGGCAAGCAGAATGAGAAAACTGTGTGGTCCTAAAAATATACCTTGATGCATCCCATGAAACCTGACAACACCACGATACCGTACAACAACATCACAAAACCTGGTAACCATTCCATTAAGGGGAGGGGAGACATAGAAAAGAGAAAGACCACTGTTGTCTTTACCGTTAGGAGGTGGTAAACTGAGATGCAGGGATGTCCTAGGTTTAGGGTCAGGTAGGGGGTCCGTTTTGAACCCTGAGGGGTGAGGGAGATCGGGGAATGGGGAGAAGATGAAGCAAAGGGAGCTGGTTTGATAGGCCTTTCGTCAGGGGTTACAGCGTGCAAGGGGTACTGTACTGGTTTGTGATGTTGATTTCAGGAATGTGTGATATCGTGAATAGCATTAGCAGTTTCATGGATTCAATACAAAATAAACCTTCATGAGTGATCAAACAGTGGTTATAGACCCAAATGCAGTGCACACAAGGACAGACATTCTGTTTCCCATTATGGCTCATGAGTCCATGGTGAACCGAGACACCCAAAAACCCAGAGTAAGAGTTTCCAACACATGATTAATTTGGTGCTTTACCACAGCTCATGCCAAGTGAAGTCAATTCAGCGGTCGTATCACAGCACTCCATTCTGTTGGACCTTTGATCTCAGTCAGACACAGTGTGGACTGGCATGTTGCTGCTGTGCTGAAACCTGTCCAGAATTCAAGATTTCCATGCTACCTTTCTTTCTGGAAAACACCTTGGAAACCACAAAGAAGCCAATTTGAATTCCCATTTAATTGCTAGCTGTTTGGTAGTACTAAAAACAGAGTTTTTGGTTTTGACAGCAGCAATGATTGAAGCCACTTGTCCATTATCTGTACTGGACCAAGTCTTGGTCTCAAGCGTGCTTTGATACCTCTGAAGTAAGGGATGTAGTTGTGCTGCTGCAGCATGGCCAGAGTGGTGGGGTTTAGGTGTAAAGACAAGCCTGCACTGCCACCTCCTGGAATGGGTGAGTACTTGCCACCACCACAACCACCACTCCCTTCAGCCCCACCAGAATAGTACACAGGGAGGGAGGATGAGTCCCTGGCCCAGGTGGAGGGGTACTTAACGCCACCCATGAGGGCTGGGGGCAAAGGGAGAGAACTGGAGTCACGGGCTTGGCTGCTGTGTCTACCACCAAGGTGTACCTCTGGTCCTGGTTGTCGAATCAGATCACAGGAGACTTGGTGAGTTACTGGATTAAATTATGAATGTATTACATGTCTTTATATCGTTTAGGTGATTTGCAAATTGGCATAAAAATGGGAATCATAGAAATCCATGAGAATAAGTTAGCAGTTGTCTTAGATTATAAAAAGTCCTCAGCATACAGTAACACCTTGAATATTGACTTTATGTTATGTGCAAATTAAAAGCCTATGTTTCCGTTATTGAGTAACACCTAAGACTTAATTATTATAAGCAAACTAGCATATGGTATATAATATAGAACTCATGATATGAATGACATTGGGCGTTCCTGGATGGAGACTTGATCAACTTAAGCATCTCAGGGTAAAAAAAAACAGTCATGAGTGACCAAAAATTCTTAGTTCAGGCCAAGGGTAAGACAGATTTTTATTAACTTGAGATGTTTCGATCATACTCAAGCACAATCTAAAGATAGTTTTGACCAAAAACCTAATTATTTTTGTGAGTTTCTTGATGTAGGATGCAGAAGAGATGCTGAAAGTACTTGCAGTTTACTTGAGTATTTCAGTTTTGTGCTATGAATGCAAGACATTGCCTTGTAATACAACATTTTTTCATAGTTATACTGGTACTTTTACTTAAGCAAACGCCAGAGTGTACTTAGCAGTCTCCTGTGCAAATGGAAATGATTAAATATGAGGTTGAAAATATATGTTTTTCCATATATAATTTAGATTTTAGAAAGCCTGCATATAAAAGGTGTGCACATTGTACATTACATTTAAAATCTGTCCATTGTTTGACACATCAAACCAAAACTGCCAGGAATGCTACATTTCACCTCTATCATTTCTACTTTGTGATTGACTGTGCTGTAAAACAGTGATGTCACACTATTTGCCAGGGGTTTTCAGTGTAACGACAGTGTAATAAACGGATTGCAAAATTTAATCTGCAGGAGACGAGTGTGTAATTCAATTTCTGGTTTTGGGTACGGTTGCCGTTGGGAAATCTTTTCAAAATACAGAAAAGTGATGAATCATCTGTGATGTTTGCAGCAGATGTTTTCTCCTAAACAGTACAGTCAGCCAGTACTCCGTTTTTTTCCCACCCTCTTGTTCCCTATTAGTCACTGAGGAGAAACAATGTCAGCAGCAAAGAGCGTCCATGTAATGCAACATCATTTCTGGATAATGAAATCTTTGATCATTTCAAGAATTCAATTTTCAGCAGTATATGGATTATGGGATATGGCTGATACCTTGCCGGCTGTAGTTCTGTGGGGAACGGGACGGGGTGTACCGTCCATAGCCCCCCAGGGAGCTGTTGGAGCTGGGGCTGGAGGGCCTTCGCTGACGGGGTGACTTCTCCCCATCACCCTGGATACACAAACACATAGAGAGAAAGCAAAGAAAGTCACTATATTCTACTGATTTAGTCCTTAATTACAATATCAGACAGGAATGTGGGCAAGGCTCCATGTCTGATACATTCTTAATGAGACGGATCAATCATGTTGCACAACACACACAAAGGATCTGAGGAAATACAACATCAAGATAACACCAGTGTCAGGGGAAAATATGCTTATTATGTCCAAGAGCAGATCTGACTGATTGAAAACATGGATCAACAAATGGGAAAAAAAATCTTCAAGTTAGAAATGGACTTCAAAACATGTGGATCTGAAATTCCAAATGGTGATAGGTATAGGTGAAATACAATTAGCAGTAGCCTAATACAGTCAACAAAACTCCATTTTCTTCCAATTGATTTGCTAGATTTTTTTTCTGGTATCAAAGAACACAGCATAAAAATGGCACAACGTTTTATTACTATACTTGGAAGGAACTCTAAAGGGTGTTGTTTTGTGCAAATTGAGGTTTAAGAGTACTTTATCCCATTTATTTACCTGCCTCTGTTATTTATCCACTATTCTGAAAAAGAATAGGGGTTTCGTAATTTGCATGAAAGTGATAGTTAAATGAATAATTTACTAATCTCATGAGTTTTGGACAGCGTTCCTGTTAACAATATTTTCATTGCACCAACCAAATTAAATGCTGCGACACAGATACGCAGTTATCTTTGCTATCACTTAATTTATCAAGTCTGACATTATGCTCATGTTCATGGGTCATTCTTTTCCCATGTTTTCAATCCGAAGTAATTCCACTAGCCTCATTTTCAATTGATATGGAAGCTGTTGTTACTGCTGAAACAGATACATTATTATTCCTAATCCTGCCTGCAAAGCACAACATCCAAACTTTCTGTCTGTTTACTTCATGGATGGACTTTCTGAATGGGACCACTATGGATCAGAACCCCAGTTTGAAGTGATTGGTAACATTCCTTGATTGAAAGTCAGTCGCACAGCTACAAATTGTCCACAGGATGATATAAACCAATCCAAAATGACCTCAGAATAATGACCACAACACAATGCAACATGACTTACAGGTCTGTACCAAAGGGTGCATTGTCTCATAATTCATCCATGGTTGACTTCCTGTTTTAACTCTGTCTTACTGTACTATAATGCAGTTGTGTGCTGATGCAGTTTTTACAACATTTCAGGGGCGTGTACTCTAGATTTTCTGTTCCTAGGGCGTTGCAATTTCTTGGTGGGTATAATGTTATCATATCTGATACAAACGATGGCCAACACTAGGAATTATCCTGACATCTGCATCTGTTAAAACTCATATCAAACATTTTATAGCTCTCAATTCCCCTTAAAACACCTTCACTTGCTAAGTATAGTGATACAACTTGTTTGTGCACACACACACACACACACACACACACACACACACAAACACAGAAACACACACAGGAAAGAACTGATGAGGGTTGCATGACATCCACAGTGAGACACAGTGCATCACATTACCTCGGT